CAGACAACCCCGTAACAATATGCGTTTTGTACTGCTGTTACACAGCACAAAACGCATAAAAATTAGCAGTTAGCTTGGACGAATATTGGGGAGCGGACGAACATCACTTTCCCACCGCTCTCAGTTGAATAGCACTATCTGTGGCTCTCCTGTGAGGCCTTCAGGCTCCTCTGTAGGCCATTTTTGACCTCAGCACGCCAGATTTGTTTTTTAGTTTACCAGCTCTTGTCATGCCGGAACATTCTAGAAAGAATGTTGCCATGCGTCTAGAAGGGTAGACTAGGGTAGGTAACTAGGCCCTCGTCCCCTGCTAACCTATGTTCGTCACTACATTGTTATAATTGGTCAATAAACACTCATGAGAAGGCCGTCGACACACACCCTCTCCGTCCCCCACAAGCCCTCGATAAATTAAGGTAAGTTCCTTCAAAATATCTTCACAGCTGTTCTATCCAGTCATTCACATTCCTGCAGACAGTTGAAGCGAAGTGTGAAACGCAAATTATGCTATAATTTGATTGCCTGTCATGTTAGATGGCAGACCGGGATGCTGCTTCTAATCATTGCTGGGCCACGGGATAAGTTCCTAAAATTTCAGTTTTCTAGCTTTTTCTTGTCATTTATTGCAAAATGTATAGACAACATGCTGTCACATTTTTAGATTTAATTTCTTTCATTTGGTATTTCACAAGCCAAGTGAAAGCGGTTAATTATAATAATGTGACAGTATGCATAACTGCGAAAAAAGAAAATAGCAAAAGTAGTATTTGCATTAACTTATGTGTCCCTAATGGCCGGTGTGGAATGGAAGAAGCGATATTGTTATTCGGGGATGCCAGCTCATGAATGATACTCATGCGTGCTTCAGGGTGGACTTTCACAGACGATCGCTGAGCCAAGCAAAATCCTGCGCGAAAGTGATGTCTCAAATGTGCAGTGGAGTGTCGGGCCGAATCCGCAGCAAACACAGCAGTATGCCGGATCGATACACACGAGCACTAAAGCTGCAGCCATTCCAGAGCTGATTCCTCGAGGTGGTGGTGCGGGAACGGGGGGAGGTATTGTGGGGAAGAAACCGCCTCCTGTGCGGGAATGGAATCCGATGGTGCACACCGAATGGCAGCTCGGCGTAAGTATTTCATTGATGGGCTCGGACGTTGCACCCTTTTATCAGCATTCACATTTCGGGTTCGCTTTGAGATAGGGACTGCACACACCCTCAGAATTTAGCTTTATTTGAAAACAAGGATTTACTTGCTCTTCAAATTGTGCAAATTAAACTTTAGGTGGGAGCGCGTCTGTTACCGAAGCTGCCAGAGGGAACAAAAGTTGGCAAGCTCGTGATGGGTAAACACGGCCTCTACAAACCGGGATTGTACGAGAAGGCTCAGCTGTTTTTTGTAAGTTGTCCCTGATTTGCATGAATTCTTCTGTTTTAATACTGGCCGGTGGCCGATTGACTGTCTTGCGGGCGTCAGCTTGTCTGCATTCCGTGTACAGAATGGTGTTAGCCTCAAGCATAAACAAAAAATTTTCGCAAATTACGTAAGCCGAGCCGATGTCTCAGAGCGCACAAATTATTGATGCAAAATAGAACTTTATTTTTTGCATCAGTAATTTGCGCATGCTGAAGTGCATGTGCTAGTTTCTTTTATAATGCTAGTGTACATCAAAGTTTGGTGCTGTAATGCCGAGGCAACTTTTCTTGTCCAGGCTATTGACTGTTGGTATCCATGCGGTCTTGAATAAGTTCTCACTGAAATTGTTTGGGACAGTGTGTCTTTGTGAATGACATGCACCGAAGGCAGCATTGGCAGACCCCGTCTTTCTCACTTCCTATGTCTTGCTTGTGGCTTTCACCCGCATTTCGTGCTCATTTCGGCCGTTCAAGCGATCATCTTCCATTTTTTTTCTATTTCACGCAAAGATACCCGACTTTCCGCAGCACTGGTAGATATTGTTTCATAATTTTTATGATCTGTGAAAGTGCCGGTGCAGATTATGGTCTTATAGTCTTTCACATTCACTTTTTGGTCTTTCTTGAACATGCGCGTTTTATGCCCCTCCTTGTGTGAATTGATTTAGGATAGCCTGATAACAGTGACACTGACAGGCTAATGCACCAGTATGAGACGCATTCCTCACAGCACAAATTTTCGCGCAAAAATTGATTGTCGGATATTTTTTGGTACTTGTTTCGATTACTGGTGTGTCTGAGGCACTTTCAGTTAGCTTCTGTTTTTGAATGCGAGAGCCCTCGTCGGGCTACGATAGTAAAAAACTATTGGGCCTCGGGGGTAAAAACTAATACGATAGAAACGTTGTGAGGGCCTCGAATTCGTTAGTCGTATTCATTCATTTGAATCGAATCAGAAACACGACGTGTCCTAATGCTACAGTTTCTTTACGGATATTCCCAGAATACAAGAGTGGGCAGCAGTTATAACGATGAGCGATGAATGAGGGCTTTTTTCCTGTTTTTGCATACTGCTGATTTTCCAGTCTGCAGTCCCTTTCCTGCAGATAAGAACTTGAGTAATTGTTGGCTAAAGCAAGAAGGTGATGCAGTGATAAACGAAGCAGCTATTTAGATATTGTTCGACAGCCTTGCCGTCGTTTTTGGCGGACTGCTAACACATTGGCCACTTTCGATTGTTCCTTTCTTGTAGAAATTTTGGATGAGGAGACGAGAGGGAAGGGTCTGGGGGTGGAGAGGACTAGGGGGATGTATGTGAGAAGCTTCTCTATTAGTTGCTGTATTTTTCTTATGCGCTAGCTTCATGAAATCAGTTTGCATGCGTTGCTTTATCGTTGAGCTAGTAGTGTGAACGAGACTCTGATGCCTTTTATCGCATTTCTGATTTCAGATTAACACGGAGTTGAAGGGTATGGCGCCGGAGGAGGCACTGCCATCATCGGCTCTTCTCACCAAAATCGCCAAGATATTAGTCCTTGTGCCTCTTTTCACTATCGTATGTAATCTTCAGATGCTGTTCGCCCAGAAGCCAATGGGCTTTTATGCTGGATACAAGCCACCAGGGCGCGAATAGCTCACACAACTGTGTAATTTAATTGTCTTGCTCGTCTAGGACTGTGTGTAGTGCATTTTATTCGTCTTGCGAGATACTGTGGTGGTGCAGCAATGACTGGATGTTTTTGCTAGTTTCGTATTACTGGATTTACAGAGTGACGGGTTTCAGAATCCCTGAAGAGATCCATGATTCACTTTGTGTTCCTCTCAGATGCCGATTCTAAAGATGAATAAATGCACGCAACGATATTGCTTATAAGATGTATTTTATGCTATGCGAATCTTTCTTCCCGGTGCTTCTCGCCCACCTCTGTATTATTCCGGAAGTAAATGAATGAATGGTTTTGATTGCGTCGCGTTGCACCTTTGTGCTGACTGGTCAGCGATCCACCGTGGTTGTGCACAACTCTCTGAACTCACATCAGTACTGTCTTCTGCCCTGGCCATGCTTTGCAGCACAACGGGCCTGATATGTTCGAGCAGCACGTTCAAAAATAACACATGATTTGTCGGGCCTCGTCGTTTCATCGTTCTGCGACTGGCGGCGTCCGTTGCTTTCTCACAGCGCGAGCAGCACCTCATTCTTTGCGTAAGCTCTCAGTGAAACTGCGCTGATGGGGACCGTTCGTGGGGTTAAAGCCAGTGCTTGAGGCAAGTCCCAGGTATTCCACTTCGGCGTGGTGTATAAGTTGATTGCCCTTCTACTTCTCGTATTTTTGCTACTAGTTGCTCAAAACAAAAGTTGATTCCTTCCATAATTCGCTTTCTGCAAGAGGCGAGGGCACTGGGAAAGAGATGGAGGAGTAGCACACGCCACCATCGCCATTTGCTGGCAAGACTCACAGGCAAATCCAGGAAGGACTTCTCGGGAAGAGGGGACGACGAGGGATGGGAATGAGAGTCTTCTCCCACTCTGAGACTGTGCAGAAACTAGGAACAGAGTTGTAATTACACTGCTACTTAGAGCCACTTTAGTTTTATTTATGAACAGACTCGGGCTTTTGCGGCGGTGGTGCCTGTGGCAGTGGTGGGGCGAGATACCTTTTTTTCCTCTGGATCCGCCTATGGCAACGCTGCACTCTTCAAGCACCAGTTCAGCGCCAGAGCGGCAAGACTAGCTCTTCCACTAAAGTTCTCTTCCTTTGGGTGGCGCGCGGTGTATTTTGCACCATGCACTACTTCGGAACGTTTTTCTGGCCGTTGAAAGGCGCATGAATAACTTAATCAGTCGTTTGACTGCGTTCTGCATTCAGCTCTAAATTTCCACCTAAAAATTGGCGTTGACTGTAGCAAAGCGGTTTTTTTTTGAAAATAATTTATCCGGCAATGTCTGTGCGTGGACGAGTGCGCAATCCATCTTTCAGATCGGGCACAACTGCTACTGGAACAGACAGTGGATTCTTGCACGGCTTGCTTGTGTACATCCCTCTGCATTCGGCCATACGCTCGAGCATGCTTTAGTACAGGGAACTGAGTGAATTGGTTTGTGATCGATGTCCAGAGGTGGCCTCAGAAGCGGTGAAGGTGTTGAGATTGCTATGGAAATGACACCTGGCGAGCCGCTTCGGTTATCAGCGGGCCTGATTACCCATCACATTATCATGTCTGAGTAGTAAGTCGTTGTAGTTTTTGCTGCCCCTCGGCACTTCCCTCTCTTTCAACGCTAATTTTCATTCATTTCAACTTTCGCTGAACTACGCTTTTTAACAGTGATAAAGATTATTTCAGTGCGCTAGTTTGCCGAGATCCAATCGACGGCCTGTATACGGTACCCAGTGCGCGTGATATTTTTGGTATACGGATTTTCTTTTCTTTGCATAATCCTTTCCCAATTCTTCGTCCTCTCCCTCCTCAATCTCTTCCTCTTTCCGGGTTATTGCTTCAGAACTGTCAGTTTTATGCGTTTGTTTGAGTGGTATTTTTAATAAATAAATAGTGACGCGCACCAGAGTAGCGGGTCTTGTTATGCGTTTTGTTCAGTTCTGTCCAGCAAGCGTTTGCGTTTAAAATTCTTTACTGCTTTTCTAATTGGTATATGGAGTAACCGGTGAAATATTCTGTTCGACCAGAATTTACGTAAGTGAGGTCCAGGTTGCGTGGGATTTAGGCGTATGTGGGTCGAAGCGTTCCGGAGTCAAACATGGACGGAAAATTCGCTGTCGAAATTTCGGCTTTTTATCTTGTTTTTTCCTGGATTGGACAATTTCCCGCCAAAGTGCATGCGTTTTAACGTGATACACAGGCGCATGCTGAAGCTGAACTCGAAATTTTCTATGCCTCATCACAGGGACCTAACATCCTCGCTAATTCCAACTTCCTAGCTTTTGTGTCTCCTAAATTATTAATTTTGGTGCCAAAACCTTCATGTGACCGCATGTGAGAACTGAGCGTACGTGAAAGTTGAGTTTGAACTTGCGGGGTTCTATTTGAAGTGGGAATATTTTTCTAAAATTTCAGCTTCCTAGCTTTTTTAGTTCCCGAGCTGAAAAGTGGGGACAAAATGTGTTCGAAAATATACGCGTGCGCACACACACACACACACACACACAAAAGCGTAGCAATATGCGTTTTGTACAGCTGTTACATAGCACAAAACGCCTAATAAAAAGATGACATGCGTATGTAGTGGGCAAGCAACGCAGGTCTGATGTAATTGCATCTGACACCTGAGCAGCTTCGAGAGTTCCGATTGATCGCACGGGCTGTTTCGGAGATATGGGGCCAAAAATGAGTCGCAGATTTTCTTCTGGACACCTAGGTATGTTTAACGAGGTATCACCGGATATGAGGCCAGGAAGCTATTTTCTTGTGTCGTTCTTCTGTGCAATAAGCGCTGGTCATAAATGTCCACTTTTTTTGCTTTAGATTAAACCCCCACACTGCGAGACTCTGTCTACTGTCGAGTTGCGCCCATTCGGCCTTCGTTACCGCTCATTTTGCCTCCTTTGTTTTTTTCAGACTTCGTCCCTGGAGGATCTGTGAGTGAGAGGCAGGACGTCGAGTATGAAGCACGAACTCATCTGAACCACTCTGTTATTAATTCTCTTTCAGAATGGTTCGGGTTGCTGTTCATTCGACGAGGTGTATACGCAGGCGCCGTGCTTCGCTTCACAGTGCACCTTCCCCCAGATTTCCCCTCCAGAGAATTGCCCGTTAGTTTTTTAAATTTCCTGCTACTATAGCTGGCAGTAATTTACTCATCTTACTGCGTGAACTGGTAAATTCGTTCAAAACAGTCACTGCATTGACAATCAGTCCATCAGTACAGTTCGTCCTAGCTGAGTTGTTATTTTTGTTGTTTTCTTACCAGCATTTATTGCTTAGATCACTATTTTGTTGAGAAGTTCCAGTGCACTTTCGTTAGCAGCGCTTTTTTTTGCAAAGGAATTAGACCAATGTTGTTTCTAATTCAGTTTGACCGTGGTTTTTAGAAAACTGCTTTTTAGTTTCTCCTTCCAGTTTTTGTAAATGCATTTTCTGTTGCAGCAGTTGCACAAAAAGTATGCTGTTGGACCCCGTCCACCTGTATATGTGCTTATGTGTGTACGTTTTATCTCGGATTTTGAATATAAGCTTTTTCAAATGCTTTAGCGTCGACAGCGACCTCTTCTTTGACTCTTTCTTTCGTCCCATTAAGTAAGAAATTTGATTGATGGACTGATATCTGGGGCCTCTGTTTTCGGATCGTTATCGGAGATACGTGTGAATTGTTATGCGTTTTTTGCAGCTATACAATGCAGAAAACGCATATTGACAAGTGGTTTTCTGTGTATCCTTGTGTGTGCCTGTCACGGTTTTTCATCTCAAGACCCACAAAAGCTACAGGGCTGAAACTTTGATAATTTAATCTATATGCACGTATGGTTCTCAATCCCCAAAATGAACGCTCTTACCCGCATGGTACCCAAGTACGGGCCCGCCAAAGTTTTCGTCGGGTAAGTTGCTAACTCGAGAACCTGAGAAGTTAGAGGACTGGAATTTTAAGGGGACGTTCCCCGTCCACGTAGGTATTAATGGGGTATAACCCAGACACTGGGTATGCGTGGTACCCACGTACGGGCTTGTGTAGTTTTTTTTTTTTTGGGTAAGCTGCAAACTCGGGAAACTGAAAAGTTAGAAGGCTGTAATTTTAAGGGGTTGTTTCCTGTCCACATAAGTCTCAGTGAGCTTAAACCCAGGTACCTGGTATGCGTGGTATCCACGTATGGGCCCGTGAATGTTTTTTTCAGGTAATTTGCTAAGTCGGAGACCTGAAAAGTTAGAAGACTGTAGTTTTAAGGGAATTTTCCCATCCGCGTATGTATTAATGAGCTCAAACCTAGCCCCCGAGTATGAATGATTCCCACGTATGGGCCTGTGAAAGTTTTTTTCCGGTAATTTGCAATCTGAGAAGCTTGAAGACCGGAATTTTAAAGGGATGTTTCCTGGCAGTCCTGGCGGCCAGTCTGAAATTCTTTTAGCTAGAAGCATCTGCCGGAAAAACAGTGCCGTTAGCGACAAAAATCTGCGGGGAACTGTGCAAAAAACGTATCTTCGCACGGGCAGCCTGTGCGTTGGCCAATTATTCTGTTGCAGTGTACAGGCATTCAGTCTTTCATTTGAGGACGTAGTTGCAGAGCAATGAACTCTTATTGATCGCTTAATTTGTTGCGAAAAAGTTCATGATTAAATGCGTTGTACTGCTTTACTGCACACATCCGGAGTGACATTTATGGAGCAGCCACACATCAAAGTGGGATCTCACTGCCTTAGACCACTTCGCGTACTTGACATTTCTGCTACAAACGCAATTTATTTCTTCGAGGTTTTTAGCATATAAGCGGTTCTTTTTCGCGGATGCCACCGGTCGATACGTAACAGCAACCCGTACCTAGTAGAGGAGAAGCTGAATAAGACATCACCAGAAAGCGCCCATATTTTCAGAGCGTAGTTTTCGATCTTGATGTGTTTCATCCTCACGTGAATGCAACTACACGAGAGCTGGATCTGAAGCGCTATTTCGTTGATGGCTGGAAACCGGAGCGATATCATATTTACCACGTTTTGCTCATTGTACAGGTACCATATTCCTCCTTTGCTAGCTGAACCCAGGATGGAACGCATCAAGCGAGCCGGTGCGATCATGCGTTTTTGCACTTTTTGTGCCGTAGCAAGTTCGCAACAAATCACAGTAGCTAACCCTGTGACGTACTGGCCCTCGAAGTTCGGGAAGTTAATTGTGCAGCTATGTGGTATGTAAGTTGTAGGTGTCGACTTCAGTGACCCGACAAATGGAAAGTTGCTGGTCCGCAAAAAAGGCCGCACTAGAAGAGTTAAATTTGAAATCTTTTAATCGCACAAGAGTAGGGAACTTCCCCTCTCGAGTTAGCAGTTTTTCCATCGAAATTTTTACGTGTCCGTACTTGAGTACCAGACGGTTTTAAGAAGCTGGATTTGAAATCTTTTGGTTATACATGAGTAGGGAACATTGCTCAAAAGTTTCAGCTTTCTAACTTTTTTCGTTCCCGGGTTAGCGGTTTTCTCGCCAAAATTTCCACGTGCCCACACGTGGCCCCGGGGGTTTTTAAACACCTGGTTTTGGTCGTACGCGAGTAGGAAACAGTCCCCTAAAGTTTCAGCTTTCTAGTTTTTCCCGTTTCCAGGTTAGTAATTTTTGCGCCAGAACTTTCACATTTGGAGTACGTGGGTCTCGGGCGCCTCTAAACAACTGATTTTGGTTATACGTGAGCAGGAAACATTCCCGTAAAATTTCAGCTTTCTAGCTTTTTTCGTTCCCGGGTTAGTGATTTCGCGCTAAATGTCCACATGCACGCACGTGGTCCCCGGACGCCTCTAAACACCTAATTTTGGCCGTACATGAGTAGGGAACATTACATGAGTAGGGAACACAGTTTTAGCTTGCTAGCTTCTCTCGCTTCTGGGTTAGTAATTTTCGTGCCCATACGTGAGCCGCGGGCTGTCCTAAGGAGCTGAGTTTGAAAACTTTTGGTCGTACATTAGTAGGGGACATTCCTCCAAAGTTTCAACTTTTTAAATTTTCTCATTCCCGAGTTATGAAGTTTCCCGCCATAATTTTCACGTGCCCGTACGTAAGCCCCGAGCAGTCCTGGGCAGCTGAATTTGAAATCTTTTTGTCATACACGGGTAGGGAACATTGCCGTGTGGTTTCAGCTTTCTAGCTTTTCTCGTTCCCGAGTTAGTAGTTTTCGTGCCAGAACTTTCACGTGCTCGTACACGGGGCCCAGACATGCATAAGAGTTGATACTGCGGTTTTGGGGTGGCACTTGGCTGGGGAACACACTGGCAAAATTTCAGCTTCAAAACATGCGTGGTTGGCGAGTTGAAATACCCGGACAGACGAACACGCACATACACACACACACAAACATACACACACACACACTGACAGGGTTGTAATATGCGTTTTTGCTGCCTGTTGCAGCGCTCTAGCGCTGCACGGCAAAAACGCACAAAAAAGGACAACGGTGACTTCTCGGAGGTATTCTACGCGCTCCGATGTCGGCTTCATTTGGGCGAGGATGAGTACAGGCGGATCCAGGGTGGTCTCGTGTGGGGGGGGGGGG